TTATTATTCTAAAGATCTCATTTCCTATGCTTCGATGGATGTCTTGGAAATGTTCTTAGGACGTCTTCTCATCCGGATGTCCTCTGGACGTCTTTACATCTCGGAGATCTGTATATGTTGTACAGATTATGTCTAATAAAAGCGTCTGGTATTAACGATTTTAACTGAACATTTTCTATTCGCATAATTCAAATAAAGACGAGGAATCTTCATAAAAGTTATTTAATCACAGCAATCGATTGTGAAACAGGTTTTTTCGCGGATGTTTTTCCACGTTTTTCCATCGTCATTCCTCTCGAATCCTTTCTCTTTGTATTTTCCTTCTATGCGATATGAAGAAGTCGCTTCTCAACATATGTTACGATCGTGCCAGCTCCAGCTGGTAGAGAAATGAATGTTACGCCAAGCGTGCGCTCCAATTTTCTCGTCATTATTGCGCGTTTTTGTTTAAATCGCGTGTCATAGAAGGAGAGAATTCGAAGTGTTTCCTTTCGCCCGATGGTGAAAGCGGATACCTATTCGTGCGAAGATAAATCATCGCGTGCAACGGATATTTATCTGCCGCCTCCACTCCACACCCCTCGATGACAAGCTAATTAATCGTGATTCACTGTCATTGATCCAATTGGAGCCAATATCGCCAACCCTCGGCCGAGAATTTGCATTATCTAACGATGCGCGACGCGAAGATCGATTCGACAAAACACGTGTTGCATATTCTATATCAAATGTGCGCACTCGTATTATTACGTCACGATATTACGTAATCAATTAACAAATTATGTAATATTTATGGGATTAAGCAATATTAATGTTCCGGCTTCTTTTCCCGAGATTACGGGATTTTCACGGTAAAATTAATGGAATTTTCATCTAATCACGTCAATATCGCTTATTAAAAACATAAGTTATTCACAAAGTTGAACAAAATTCACTATGTCTTTGATACGACTACCTTAAAATTAGACATCAGATTTTTGTTGTGAAAGGAAACGTCTTTTTATCGGCGCAATATCTAAAAAACGCAAGTTTTCAAATATTACGGTTTTAATTAGAAGCATTGACGCGTTGCCTTTTTGTATTATTTAATTCTATGCCATTGAATGTCTATGTTATTTGAAAAATAACATTGCAGAATGTTTAAATTTCGAGTATTGTTTAGGTACATGGAAAGAACAGTTTTCCTGAAAATATCTAAAAATTTAAAAAATATGGATCTGAAAATAGTTACGCTGAGCCATTCAAATAATTATCTTTATCGAAAACGCTTAAACATAATATCATGGATACGCTTAAACATGACAATCATTTTTGATAATCTAGCAACTGATTTGAGCATCCTACGTCATTATTTGTGGTCAAATTTTTAAATATTTTAGCAAAAACATTTTTTCCGTGTAAAGATAAATCGTGAAGGTCATAAAAGTTGGCAGTTGCAAAACCGCATATGTTTAGAAGCGAGTTCTTAGTAGAATGAATACCGTTAAAGGAACATAGGCAGAATTGCTATAAAGAAGTCTGATATAGTTTTATATGCTTGCCTACACTATGTGCGATTTAACGTAACGAAACTTCTCAACAACCGCCTATGCGGAATATGTCGAGTTCTTCCTTTCACTTACAAGAGTAGTCTTCGAGTAGTCTTCTGCTTAAGTTTTCCTCAAGATATTTAATGATTTTTATGTTACGGGCGTTTAAAGACGCTTTTGCAGATGATTGATCAGAGGAGGCTTTTTGTCCATTATTTTATTTTAGATGTAAGTAAACAATACATACAACACAAGAATATTCTTATCTAACTTTTAATGGAACTTTGTGTTTCGCTTACGAAAATATTTGTAGCATTTTTTCAAGAAAGAAAAAAAATTCGACACCTAAATTGATAAAAAGATATACGAAAATCCAACTCCTTTTTTTTTTTAATTCGAATTTATTGTAACGAGATTCTATTCTGCGTATTAATATGACCAGTAACCTCTGGTATTTTCATATTATTTCATATTCATTTTACAGTTGGATCTCTCACGAGAAAACGTTCGTTAACTCGAATGTCCCGATCTCAGCGTATGATTAATTTGTATCGACTGATCAATACTAGTTGATCAAGATTCTTGTCTTATTCTCAAATATCATTGCATTCGCATTTTCGTTGAGGATTTTCTGGTATTTCGATATTGGAGATTCTTACAACGACAAATTGCCGATATTAGAGATTCCTACGTGATAAACTGCTGATTGCATATCGGTGTCATTTTTGTCATAAAAGTACAATGGAGTATTTTTATAAAATTTCATTTCAAGCAATGAAACAATTTCTCTATGTTTGCCAATATAGAATGACCAATGTAGAATGATATTTAGTTTTTGAAATTCTGGCTTTAAATTTTTTTTTTATTGTATAGATTTTAGAGTTTGAAAGCAAATCATTTTGTAATGGTAATTTTGTTATATTTTTTGCGTAAAAAATGTTTTCTCTTTCATATGTTTGTCTTCAATCAATTTGCATTCAGTTGTAACGAAAAGATCGAGAAAGGTCATCAATTATCGCAAGTCTCCAATTTTCAATATTGGATATTTTTATAGTTGAACTTTGGAATTATACAAATCCATTACATTTTAGTTGAAGTAAAGTCTACATTATTTGCGAGTTTTTTTTCAAACGTTATTTGAATAACTTATGTTTAAAATTTTACATTTTAAAATTGTATCCCAATTTTCATTGTTTCTTTATAATAATATATAATTAAACATTGATCATATATAATTAAACATTGATTGATTAAACATTGATAATATTCTGTGTATTCTTTAATGAATGAAGATAAATATAATTTAAATAGTAAAATAACTATAATGCATAATAAGTATAGTGTATATGATAAAATTAGTAATTATTATAAATCTAAATAAGTGTATTAGTTAAACATTATTCATACATATAGAATAATACAAAATGTCTTGTTTTAAATAATATAGATAAATATAGATAATATATCGAAAAATATAGAAGATAGAGAAAAACGTCTCAAAAGTTGTAAGATTTCGAAGGGATTACATGATTATAACATTGATTCATTTATAGATGGAACCATTGTCGAAATTTTTTTCTGATCGTTATTTTTTAAATGGAATTATATATTTTTTGTTATATAATATAATTTCTATATGAGACAAATCAATTGGTGTAAAGAAACATCGTTATTTTTAAAAAGTTGTGCAATTAGCAATGCATATTCTTTTAAGATAATTAATGCTTTCTCTACATCAATCAATTTATCTTATTATTCTATGCATAAAAGTATTAAGATATCGTTGTCAAAAAATTAATAATTTACGAGTTTTTACATATCAGGATATGTTTGAATAAAGTATAAAATATTTCGTAAACTTTAACTTTTTGACATTTGTATTTTAATATTTTTATATCCAGAATAACTAGAGGAAACACATTGCATATAAAAACTTCTAATTTTACATCAAAAATGTCACAAATCAAAAAGATGTGTGTTTATAAAAGTTTATTTTTATAGTGGGTATTCAATATAAATGAAGAGCTAATAATACTTTTACTCTATTTCTCCACAATTAGTTATTAAAAAATTGCATTTAAATATAATATTGCAAAATCTTAATAATTCGAAACATTCGAACTTATTTTCTGAAAAATTTTGTTTTTTGAAATCTGTTGTTATAGCAAATGAATGATATATGGTATTTTCTAAATATTAAGATTGACACTTCAAAGTGGTGAAAATATTATTTAAATTTAAAAGAGAATTATTGAATTAATTTAAAAACAATTATTAAGGCAACTTAATTTGTAGCTAATAAACAATATTTTATTATTTTAAATAAGCCATGTAATTGCAATAGAAAAGAACCAAATGATCGCAATTTACAAACGAAAAATCGAATTTACATTCAAGGAATTACAGATAAGCTCTTAAAATCACATGTAAATCTAAAACACTACATATTTATTCTAATTATCAACGTTTTGCTCGTAAACTTATTTTTACTGGAAGACGGAAACTTTATTCTTGTTATTTTTTCTGTTATTTCTTCCAGACCACTAGAGCATCCTGTTTTCTTATTTTTTTTTTTTTAGCATTTCTTCCTATTGTTAATCGCGGTTTTTGTGGCTGATTCATGCTAGATTAATGAGTCATTTTCAACCAGTTTTTAACTTAGTGAATTACTTTTCACTAATCAATTTCATTGCAAGAAGTTCAGCGGGATATCCCAGCAAGATTGAACAATCCTAACTATTCGAAAATTATTATATATAATCCTAGACTCCTAGACACTTTTATGGCACGTTATGTAATCTTAAGTTAAGATAGCTATTTAACTACCTGGACAAGATAACGAAATGAAAAATTAATGATACGAGAACACTCGTAACGATAGTCTTCGAGTCTTTGTATCGTCACGTTTCATTTCGTTGAAAAATAAGAACAATAGTGCTTGTGTGAATCGCATCAATGAATGTACGCATTTAAACGCATTCCCCGAGGTATCTCTATCTGTTGCTTACGTATTTTCTTTTTCTAACGCGATACAAAACAGGGATATTCATAACAAACATCTAGCGTTGATCTTTCTATAAAGCAGTTTTGATATTACGTACAAAATTGTTTCCTACAAATGTGTTTATGAGAAACATAAATGTATAGAAAAAAAGATCTTAAATCAAGATTATATTTTTACATAAGCAATAAATTATAATCTTCTTAGAAAAATTTTGTCTTGATTTGATCGAATTTAATACAAGTACAATATATTTTAGATTCTTATAAGTAAGAATATTGTAATTTTCATACAAAAAATTTTTAGTTGAGTTGAGTTGAGCAAAAATAATATTTGCATCAATACGAATTCAATCAAATCAAGACTAAAATTTTTAAAAGAAGATTAATATTCTTGTTTATATATATAAGAATATTTCTCTTTAAAACTACTTTTTTGTGGTGAAAATGTGTACGTTATATAGATGTGATAATGTAACGTGTAGATAATATAATGTTATATAGATTACAGATTATTCTATTACGCGCCAAAACTTTTTTAACAAGTTTATCTTTCTTGGTTATCATTTATTTTTAATTCTTTATCATAGTATTTTATCATTGTAGTTTAAGCTCAGCGATTGGCCTGTTTATAAATACGCAAGTGCAGTGATTCTTTTGAACGATCATATATCGTACAACGTTCAGTCGATCGATAAAATCCTGAAGCATATGTATTTTATGTACACTTGTTATCGATGTCGGCTTCAGTTCCAGAGTGATATTCAATGATGTGTTCATTTTTATTTGCTAATGACTCGCCATATCCAATTATCAACTTTCCTTATTTATTGATTTAATTCTTATTATCGCTTAATTTTTTAAATTTTACTGCATGTTTATTTTTACTATGTCTCTCAAAAATCATAAATGTTAATTTCAAATGTCCTTTGACAGATTCCCTTATCAATTTATAGTACATTTTCTTTGGCAAAAATATGGGAAATCATTTATATTGCAATCTTCCAATGTATGCAATTGTACATAAGGCTAAATCGATAGTTATTTTCGATCTATCTTCAATCTATTTCTATGATTTATTAAAATAATATTTGAAATTTATAATCATTTTTCATGTTCTCGTTTTTTAATGCATTTGATATTATTTTTCATCACTTGCATACTTCAATCATTTTTATTTTATTCTTTATCTTAAAAAGTTTATTCATTTGTGTTTTAATATATCTTTTGCTATTGAATTGTTTTCTTTTTATTTTGGAGATGCTTTTTGAAATTTTAACATAAATATTAAAGACATGTTATACGAAATGTTAAGAAATTTTATCTTTGACACGACAGCAATAATAATAATAATAATAATAATAATAATAATAATAATAATAATAATCGATCTAAGGGGCGGTCCTCTTCCAAGGGTCCGCCATCGACATTCAGACAATCCATTGTGTCCCTTCGAACCTTAGCCAGAGGTAAGGTCCGCCCATAGGCATAAATAAACCGCGTATATCTTATACTAGGCAATGGCCTGTACATGAGAGAGAGGAAAAACAATTGACATCTTTTTTTCTTTCTTGAAATTTCATTTTTTTTTTGGAATAGCAAAGAAAATGAAAAAAATATTTTTTTTAAAGATTTTGATAAAATTTTTGTTTTAAAAGAAGCAAAATACCCATATAAAAATGAGTGATTTAGAATATAGAAAGCTTATAAAAACAAAAAGTAAATTTGTAGGAATATTGAATTCCCAATAAAAAAGAAAGATTTAGTTTGTAAAAAGCACTTATAATTAAATTAATTCGAATTTTTTCACGATTTTTTGAAAAAAATATTTTTTCTTTTTTTGATTATTTTTAAAACAACATTCAATTATTAATGATTATTAATGACATTTAATTATTAATGAAATGATTAATAAATATTAATAATTGTCATTGAGATGTGTACAATTTTAAATATCCTTTTAGCTGTTGCTCTTCTTTTAACTTTTATTTCTTCGTTTTTTCTGAGATATCGCTAATGACTGTTTAAGAATGTTTTATGTATTTATCAATGCAGCATATCATCAAGAAGAATAATATCGAAAAAAGCTTTTGAAGTGAAATTTAACAAGAACCTATAAAATAGTGATTGCTCATTAATTGTTTTTTAAATCACTCATTAAATTTAGCAAATAAAAAATTTCAATTATATAAATCCACAAGATTTGGCTTTGTTAAAAATGAAATTAAAATACCTAGGAGTTTATTTTATTTATCAGATATTTGATTTATTTAGAAGCTGTCTTATATTTGCCCATCTTTATTTTCAACGCATATTTAGAATATTTTTAGCCTTAAATTACAAAAAAAAACGAAAAGTATAGCATCTTTAGACAGATATCATATTTTTTAGTGTTAAATTACGTCTGAAAGCGATGCGGATTAAATTCTGTCTCTATCATAATTTCATACGCAGCGCATGTCGCATGTCATTCTTCTGTCATACTTCATTTCAACTTATTCATTTGTAATATTTTTTAAATCATGAAAAATTTATATATAGAGATCTTTCATGATACTGAATATGAAATATGAATCCAATATCAAAATTGAAAATTGTAAGTTATATAGTAAAATATCAGAAATTGAAAATTGAAAATTATTAATTTACATTTCAAAGTCAGTGTTCGTCTAATTACACGTTACGTAATTGTTTTCAAACACGAAAGAAAATTTGAATTATAGAAGAATTAAAAATTAATTTTTATTTCAGATGTCTCACAATCATGCCGACCACATGATGACGAACAGTATGATAAACACGTCCCATGATACGCCCATGGCTCATCTAGGGATGGATCATGGAAGCATGAACCATGGGAGCATGGATCATGGTAGTATGAATCATGGAAGCATGGACCATGGCAGCATGCACGACGCCGAGGTTTCGACGAACGACGCGTGCAGCAACATGGGCATGCACGGTATGTCGGTACGTATGAATCGTTCATCCAATACTCAGTAGCGTTAATACAATTTGCTCTCCATGATCCTTAGATGACATTCCATACCGGCTTCTGTGAAGTGGTGCTGTTCGAAAACTGGAGGATCTCGTCGATCGGCGGCCTCATCGGCTCGATGATCGGTATCATTATCATGGCCGCGCTCTACGAGGGCTTGAAATACTATCGGGAGTATCTATTCTGGAAAACATACAATGCTCTTCAATATAGAAGTGTTACAGTGCCTAGTGAAAAGAATGTGGTGGCCGAAGATAACCGCGTCGTCCAGTAAGTTATTTTCTAAATCGGGCGATTCTGAAGAAAGCATCACTTACCGTTCTTGCTCGTAAGAATATTCATTCATGTAATTTTATTACGTGAGGATTCTATGAAAAGAGTGCTGAATAGAAAGTGATAATTTGAAAGATACCGTGAAGTGCATTGTAATGAAATACAAGAAATAATATTTCTTTGCAAGATCACTAAACGTACAAATAACGCGCAATTTAAATAGTGAACCTAATCGTTAAATCTGCTTTTTTTTTAGTATGATTGGCGAAGTAATCCATAAACAACCGTAAGTAAATCTTGCAAACACCGAGATTTATTTTTCAGAATTATGTCTCATTTATTAACAATTATAATATTAAATTATGCATGCCTATATAATGTATTTACTTAACATATTCGTTTCATCTTTTAAAATGTTGTAAGTTTTGTTTAAAAACAAATTTGATATAAAATAGAGTTGTCAATTTATATAAATTTTTCTTTAATTTTAATGATTTTTCCAATAATATACAAAATTCCGAATTGTAGTATTTTTTAAATAAAAATTATCCGAAATAAATATGTTAATATAATATGATCTTCTCAGCATGTTATAAAAAATACTATTTATTAAATATTTCAGCATGCCTGCTTTATTATTATTGTTATGCACTTGATTGCCATATTTTTATTTTTATAATTATATTTCAAAATTTTTTTTTAAAATATGTGGATTAACACACATTATATTCATATTATATTGATTCGCACATCATTTTTTAAATAATATATATATATATATATAAAAATTAATTATAATAATAATATATAATAAACACACACACACACACACACACACACACACACACACACACACACACACACACACACACACACACACGTATGTATATAATAAATATTTTTTTAAACATCTGAAATCATTTGATCCTGCTAATTTTACATGATTTTACATAACACCATTTTTAAATAATTAAACTATTTACTACTAACAAAATCGAATTATTAAAAATAAAGTATTTATTATCTGTGTCAAAAATTGTATGATTTATCAATATATGAATATTAGTTAGCAATTTATATTAGTAGTAATAATTTTGAGAGTATAATAATTTAAATAAACTGCATGAAAATTTTTTGCTTTGTATTTTGTATTAATATGGGTTTTGTGCTATAAATAAAGATATCACAGAAAATTGTATAAATTAGTTTCGCATATTGTTGCAATTTTAAATGAACTCAAATTTAATGTGTCGTAATTAATCTGTGCAGGCCAACTATGATGTCCTGGATGCATTTCTTTCAAACGCTTCTGCATATCGTGCAGATTGTCTTGTCTTACTTCCTGATGCTAATCTTCATGACTTACAATGTTTGGCTGTGCTGTGCCGTGGTAATAGGTGCTGCTATTGGTTACTTCCTGTTTGGTTGGAAAAAATCAGTGATCGTAGACGTTACGGAACATTGTCATTAGCATTTAATAAATTCCTCTGATCTATTTTTTTCTAAACCGTACTTGCGTAAAAGTGTTCACGACTGTATTCTAACAAAAATCCGGAAAATAAGAGGAATACTGAAATGATACGACGTCGTCTTTTACATAAAAAAGACGTATGGGGAACTAATATTTTTTAAATTCATGACACACGGTGAATATATAAATATAGCAGGATTCAGCGAAATAGAGAAAACTATTTATTTTAGTTTCATAACTTAACTATTAATCTCTTGCATATAATTCCTTGTTTTTAGAAAGGTAATAAATCAATTATTTTTAAGTTTGATCCAACATTCTAAATAATTTTATTAATTATATGTAAATTCTACATACAGGCAGAGAAGATTTTGTTAAAATTCGCTTTTGTGTCATGAAATGATACAATTTCATAAGAAACTCTGGGAGTTTGAATCTTAGACGTATATAAATATGGCAAATTGTAAATATTAAGTATTCATAAGAGAATACGTACATGTCGAATGCGCACATCTTTTCCCAATTTTATATTTTTACTATCCGTTTTTATTGTTATTCTTTTATAAAAATATCATTATCAGTAACTTTTTAATATTTGGGAAAGAGTGTACGCTACATTATTTTAAATAATTGTAAAAACATACCATTAAAATGCGTATTGTTATATACGTTAATATGTAAATTATGATGAAATATAGCCTCAAATGCGAAACTAAGAAAAAAAATTTAAAAAGATAAGGTGGAAACATTGTTCCTTTCCTCTCTTTAATTCCCTTATAAGCTTTTATTCTATTTTTGATGTATTCAGTTTGATTGGATATTTTTAAGAAACATTCTTCTCGAAGCAATCTCAAGATAATTTTCTCCTAAGAAGAAAGGAGAATAATCAATATATATAAAAAAAAGTAATGCATCTTAAACAAGCACAATGTTAAGTTTATTTTTTCTTGCAAAATCGATTCCTAGAATTATAAAATCTTAAGGCATACACACATATATGTATTATACATAAGTCATGTACATACTATAGAAATAGCCTTTTGTCTACTAAATATGTAAAATAATAAATAACAATCGGTACGCGCGTTTTTCACAAACAAGATGTGTGTGTGTGTGTGTGTGTGTGTGTGTGTGTGTGTGTGTGCGTGTGTGTGTGTCTGTGTGCAGCAGTTATACTTTCTTAAAATAATTCATATATTTCATAGAGATTTGGCGTAAGAATGCCTGTGTTACAGTATTCGTGAGGTGATCATCACCTTGATATGATTAGTTGTATGCGCTTAACATCTGAACTAACTTTATCGCGTGTTCTGCGTTATATATAAATTTATATATTCCACATATAGCCATATATAAGAAGCACCAGCATGCACATTTCATACGTTTAATCTGAATCGTCGAGATAATCATTACATACTTTTTTCTTGTACTCTATAAGAGGCATTTTTCTAAAAAAAATCAAGTACCATTTGAATGAGATACGTGGAGTAGTAGGAATGCGATCGTATGCATCGGCGATCGTACAAAAAGCTTCACTTTCATAATGTTATTAATTTTGTAGAAAAATTGTCACGACATCGAATGCGCAATGTTCCAAGAGCAGAAAAGCATATGCCGCATTTTGTACAAAAGTCAAATTCGCATATAAATACGCGTGTGACTCTACCTAAATAAAAGTTACGTTGCTTTGCTGCTCTCAGATGTACATACGTCGCGAGGATAAGGCAAATTTAGAATTACAAAGCTAAAGTTACAGATTACGCCTAACTCTTATGTAATAAAGCAATTGATAATTATCATTTATTCTTATTCTTATTATTATTATCATTATTATTTTATCACAAGCCAATGGTGTATGAAATACTTAAAATACTGTCAGTAGCTTAAAAGCTGCACAAAGCACTGATAGAATAAGGACGTTCAACTTGACCTTATGTCTTGTTGTTCTAGAAAGATCAATCACAATATATTATATATGTGTGTGTCTTATATACGATTTTTGTGACTCAAGTATTTCGTTGAGATTCATAAAAAAGAGAATATAAGCTAGCCAGTAAAGAATTCACTTGTTCATTGCCAATGGCATCCTATGCGGTCCATAGATTCTTTGGAAACCTTAACTGGATCTTAAGTAAAAACTTTGAAACAATATATTCCATTTACACACAACCGATGCAATTCCAATGTCAATAAAGAAAGTTCACCATATAACGAAGAAAGTATCGTAGACAGACAAGAGATTCTCTTCAAATTACTTTGTTAGACCTAGAAACAAAGCATGCCAAGAATAAAAAAACCGATATCCTAAGTAAAATCGATAAAAATATCTATCATTGAAACTGAAATCAAAGAAATATGTGAAAAAATATTATATAACGGTTAATCAAAAACTTTTTAGTTTAACAAACACACTCAATTTTTCTATGGGCTATAAACCTTTAAAAGAATTGTGCATTTTAATATAAATATGCGAAAAGAAATGAGACACAGGCCAAACAAACATAATCTCTTACAGTTATATTGTGTAATGTGTATCCTTATAGATCCTAAATAGAGTAAGCACCGTTTCTGTGAGTTCGATAGTGCGAGACGTTGCGTATTCCTTCCAAACATAAAAAAAATTTTAAATAATTGTTCCAGAAATGACAGTTTGCATCATGTAAAGACTGAATATTTCGTATCTATCTTCCTATCACTCGTTTCAATTAGCTGGTCACGAATGTAGATCTTGAGAAAAATTATATCATGCATTATTTCGTCAGGATACAAAAGAAAAACTGTAAGAATCACAAGCTGTGACCTACTCGGCGCCGGACACAGGCATGCAGCAGCTCGTACGATGCTGGGACTGCTGTTTAGATAGATCGACGGTGTCTTCCACTAAAGGTCGCTCTAATCTGGCTTCCAATCGCGCCCATGCGTCTACTGCTGCTCCAAAAGCTGCCTCAACATTAGTAGCATCTTTCGCCGATGTTTCAACCAGTGGTGGATTGCCATTTTCTAAACACCAAGCCTGAGCTTCTTCTGTGGAAACTTGTTTCTCGGATTCAGGAACATCCACCTGAAAGAAAGAAATGTGATATAAGATTAAATAAGATTGATAAAAATGTTGCTCATCTTAATTTTGACAGTGTACCTTATTGCCAACAACAATAAATGGAAAGGTAGAACCCTCCTGAACATCCGCATACTTAAGAAATTCAGATCTCCATAGTGCCAGATTCCTAAAACTCATCCTATCGTCTACTGCATAAGTAAGCAGGCAAATATCTGAGCCTCTATAAAATGGTGTTCTGAGCGTCTTGAACCTCTCCTGTCCAGCTGTATCCCATATCTGCAGTGTGTATGCCTCGCTGTTGATCTCAATATCCTTGTTCAGGAACTCAACTCCGATGGTATGAAAACTGTGTTCGTCGAAATGATTCGACACGAATCTGTTCATAAGGCAGGACTTGCCGACACCGCCGTCCCCAAGGATCACCACCTTCAGGAGGGTGGACCTCTGCGAATTCCGATTTTGAAGACTATTACCACCTCTACCTGTATTCACCGACGTTGAATTGTTCGTCGACATTTTTTCACAATCTGGGACTTGTCTCGCCTGCGATATCTATAAGTTACACGTCACGTAAAATTAATGAACAAAGTTTCGTCCGGCAAGCCCCCTCAACGGGTGGGTACTCAACAAGCATTCATTCAAGCCTAGTCAAACCTCATAGCTTCTCCGATCAGCTGATTTGGAAACAGAGCTCTCGTATTTCAATTTCTCAGAGCTTGCCGAATCACATCAACCGAAAAAAAAAAAAACAATGTTTTCTCGTTCATTATCTACAAGATTTCTTCCTCTTTTTCTCCCTTGTTCTCACTCTATCTCTCTTTCTTGCATGAAGTAACTAGCGTATAAAAGGCCTCGGTGTCTTTATCCTCTCTCGATTCCGCAGCATAACCTTTACGACTGTACGATTCAATCGGCGAGATTCCCTCATCGATCTCTTAAATTTTGGAGCATCGACGAAGGATGGACCGTCCGGTGGGATGAGTTTTTCGCGTCACCACCCCTCCTCTTCGCGATTTTAATTCAATCGTCGCGCTCGGGGCACAATGAACGGGCCGCGAGAAATCTCCTTTGTTGTCACGACACTCTCACGGGGCAGCGGACGGTGCCGAGTGCAATTGTCAACATAGACAACGCGTTCCTGGCTCTCCAACGACGGCCTCGATCGCGTACATTGGATTTCCGGTGTTTCTAATAGCACCCGATCGATGAACACTCACGATACTCGATCATTTTTGGCCGGGCGCTCGTCTCAGCTCGTCTCAATACATTGCAGACGACAAATGACAAGAAGGAACGCCCGTCTCGAGGGGCGAGGAGGAAGAGAGGTTGTCAGGTGAGAGCCAGTGATGCCAGTCGTCAGTGTTGCCAAAGGCTTGGACGCGGGGCTCCCCACCATCTCGGCACGAAATCTCATCACCCACGTGCAACACATACTGGCTGGTTAGTAAATTCACTGAAAATATATAGTCTACGTTACGTATTCTATAGATTTTCAATACTGGCAGTGAATTTACGAATACAGCCATTAACCTAAACGCTAAAAATTGCGTCATACACACTAAAGCACGAGCTCATATTTGTGTACGCTCCAACCTGCTTCGACCAATTTCGAGCGATAAAAAAAGACACAAGGTTATCTGCCATCTTGCTTTCTCTCGAGCTACGATTGTTACGCGCATGCGCCGTGCCATCCCCCTCTCTCGTCAGCTGATTATAATTATGTGAACCAAAGACAGTCGAAGATATAAAATCTGGAATGGCGCGCTAGTGGCACGGCATTTGAATTCGAATTAGGCAACGACGATTAGCTGTAACAGCGAGAAGATCGATGGACAATTCCATTTTTATTTCACAGCATCTTGAGATCTTCTATCAAGAACTCCTTTTTCATGAGATGCAACAGCAAATACAGCGTGTTCCGACGGGGTGTTCCGAGGACGGTCCTGAGTCAACTGCCAAAGACGTGAGTCTCGCAAATGTTATTTATTTAAATGAGATAGTAAATGGGATAGTAATGGGATAGTAAATGGTATTGCTTGACAAAATCTTAGATATTTTGTAATTTTTTATTTTTCTTAATTGAATTAATATTTATAAATTCGGAAGAATTGCTTAATATTGCGAACTGCCGTTAACAGATTTTTAACGTAGCAACTCAAAACCATATTCTTAGAGATAATCAGAAAGTGCTATTTACATTTTTTGGTATCGTTCTGTAAACTCTGTTGAAACGCGACATGACATTCCTGAAATATCTATGACTTTGAAATGTTTGTTACTTCGCTCGTAAATACAACGAGAAAGGACCGAATAGTCCTAATTCGTGACGATTGTAAAGAGCGATTATGTAAAAATGGATGGATGTGTTGCTTATTTTTGTAGCTTATTAATTTTTGTAGATTATTAATTATTTTAATAATCCTATCTTTACAAGTGTGAGCAAACTGAAAATCTTCAAATCTTGTTAAAATAAGCCATAAATAGCCATAACTTTTTAAGCATTTTAGTAAAATACATTACGTCACATATATATATATCTCTTCAGGTAATAAATTTATTTTATAGTTTTTTCATTGCTACTAAAGTACCAATGTTTAAATATCAATGAATTGATTTGACATTATTGATGATGACGTTACATATTAGATATTTTGTATAATAATCAATTTGAATGGTTGTAGATGTACGATCAGATTTCCAAATACAATGATAAAACTGATGTTCAAGTTGCTTATCAACGAGCATGGACAGAGTAACATTCGTTTGTCCCGATTGCCATCACCTTCTCTGCAAATAAATATACTATTAATGGATTATATAGTATATAGGATATAGTGATATAGGAAAAGGAGGTGAGTTCTCTTTTTCTTTCCATTTCTGGGATAAAGTAGTCATGCGACAATAGATTGTATCATATAATATTTTGTCAGCTTTTATTCTCTTATGATATAGATAGTGCTTGATAATGTATAAATAAATGTCTGGAGGTGAAATTCCATGTACTATTTTGTACCACGTGTATCGATCGATGAACTATTTAATAAATTGTCACATGTGATCAGCAGAAGTACTCCAGCTTCATCCACTTATGTTGGAATCAATGAATTAATGGCTTCAGAGAAGCTTCTCCGAATAATGTCCCAGACGATTTATAAAAGACATTTGATGCAAATAATAGTAACGAATGTTGTCACTGATGATACAAGAACAGAAGGTGAGTTCTCTTTCTCTTTCCAACTAATTTTTTTCTGAGAAATATCTTATTTATTTTTGAAAACAGACACATATTTAATCTTGGGGAACGTTATAGAAGACCATTCTCTCCAGTTGAGCAACATAACAAATAAACAATACTCCGAATAAACATATCGGACATGAGTTATAGTAATAGTTCATCATCCATGGAAACAATAAGAGTCGCTAATTCTTGTCTGGCCAGTTCGTGCGTCAATTAAGATAAAAAAATATTTTATTAAATCTAATCAAATGTCTCTTCTATTATGGCTGGTGTGCGGATACGCTAACCAGGGCAGAAAAAACTAGTTGCTCAATAGCTGCTTTGAACAGATACAACTTGAAAAGGCGGGCAAAGCTTCAGTAGGAAAGTCCGGAACCAGATGTCGATGCGTTAGTGGTAATGGTTCGGCACTGCATGATACAATCTGCCGCATAGTCAAAAAATGATATAACTAAAACTTTTACACGCAATTGT